CTTGCTAGTAAGCGTCTACTACTTCCAGCCGATGTACAAGCATATATCGCTGCTTCCAAACAACCAATTCATGTTATCAATAATCCAACGTATGGCAATTATACGTGGTGAACAAATGATTTTTATTCTACTAATTAATTTTCAATAAAATAATAAATTCTTTTCTTATAAAGTATGCATAAATTATTTGCCTGACATCCACACTTTTAATAGTCTTGAGGGTGTGGGTGTGGTGTCTATCATCTATTAACCCATCCACACCCTAAAGGATTTTAGTCATTCCCAACAATATTTGAACTTGAATGAATTTCATAAATCTATTGGAATCATTGGATATGGTATCAACTTTGAGAGAACAACTACCATTTTTAAAGATAATTCAGATAACTGAAGTCATATTTTTAACTGATAGGACTTATATTAACTCGTTAACTGAGCTTGGCAATCATTGGATCTATGTTGATTTATCCATTAATTTGTTCAATACTAGTAATAATAAAATCATAAAAGTAATGGTGTACGAAGTGAAAATATTATCATATATTGAATTTAGTATTAGTTTTTGTCATTTGATGCCTTATTTCGAACTTATAGGATGATCTGATATCGATTTCGAAGTATCTGATGAATTTATTTTACGTTTTTTTTTAAATAAATTGAGTTGAATTGAACTCTACGAAAAATACAAGAACTAAAGGTTAAATTCACAACATAAAAAGAAGTTTCTTAAAATCCTTTCTTATCAAGATGAAGTTATCACTCTTGTTTGTTGATTAAAATACATCTAAATAAAGAAACAATATTAAGCATCAACTCAATAATCAAAATCTCGCTCGATTAATTTGATTAACTCATTCTTTTGTTCTCAATAGTAATGAATTCATTGTATGAAAATATTATGATCGCATTTTCTTATCACGTCCTTCTTCTACTTCTCATTTCAATGCTTGTCGAAAATCTTGAGAGTGGGTGTGGGTGAGAGATGCTTAAAATATTTACTTCCTCGTCTTGATCCACACTCACACCCTCAGAAGACGAGATTCATATTTGAAGTTAAAACTAATGAAGCGCATGCCTTTTTTGTTTCTTTCTGTTTGCCATATGTCGTCATTTTTTTCTACCTTTATGAACTGGGAAAAAACCCAGCGTATTAAAAAAAAGGTAGAAAAATAAATAATTAATTAAGCTATTTTTCTTCTCCCATACCAATAAATATGAATTATGAAAATTTCAAAAACATATAATGTATACATCCTTTTTACTATATTTTGTTGATCATTTTTCGTAAATATCAAAACAAATATTACAGGACATGAAGTAAATTTGTTCTAGATATAATCTATGACAATCATATACAAAAGACTTTTCTTTTTTTCCTCTTTGGGAATGTGAATATATACTTTTTTTTATTAGATACTCAACTATTTGAAACAAAATCTGCATTAATTAAGAAAGAATAATCTTGAGGGTGCAAACAAAGTACGATTCAAGTGCGTTATCATTCAAAAGTATTTACACGAGTTTCAACTGTAAAATTAACACGCATAAAAAGACATAGAAACGACAGAACAAACAATATATGGTCGCCTACATCAAATAATAATGGGAAAAAAACCATAAAATAAAAAGGATACATAAATAAACATCGTGAAGATTTCTTCATTAAAAAAAGCAAAACTCCCTTCAATATACAATTTCTAACCTTTGAATACAGAGAATATGGTAAGATTTCTTTTTCAATCTCAATTTATATCATTACTTTTATCTAACGTTTCTTTTCATGCCAGGCTACTTCTCGCCAGAATACTTACGTTCGAATTCCATATCCAGAAGGTGGCACTCCGAATATTGGAGATTTGGTTGAATTAGTCTTCGATAAATTCAGTCCACGACCACATTTTATTGTACGACAAACAGAAGGAAATGTCGACAGGAATATAAAAGTAAATGAAATCGATGAAACAATGCTTCTTGTAATAAAGTTTTTAAAAAACAGGCCGAAATATGACCAACAAGCTGTACGTATTATTAAGTTTGCTTTAAGAGAAAGCTTGCGTGGGCAATATATTATTGAATATCTTGATTTTGAAAAGCAAGCATTATAGTTTCTGCTACGTTTTCAAGAGTCGAATTTTTTAATGAGTTGAGGTTGGGAAGAAACCCAGTGAGATCATCGATATTTTTTTTTGTTTCAACAACATTTAAAAGAGAAGCACCTGCTCATTTGTCTAAATACGATGCTGAAAAAATTTCATATATGTCAAAAAATTCTACATCTTTCGATATAGTTTTCAAAGCTCTACCAGAAATATCTGTAAGAAATGTTTTTCGAAGTAAAAGTTCAGTTTTTTAGAACTAAACTGAACTGTTCGACCCCGAATTAGTATATCCATTACCTCAAAAAAGTTATTCAATTGTTGCAAAAAAATGTTTTGAATGACTGTATGTTTTTTTTATTAGATTTTATCATTTCATCGTGGTGACTGGTAAGCATAATGTTATTGAAAATCTACTATCGTTGCATTTCTCGCACTAGGTATCAAGAACATGGCACC